GGACACGATCTGCGGGCACATCCTCTGCGGGCAGCAGCTCCGGAGCCGAGGATGGGCAGGGCACAGCCCCACCGTCCGGCCCTGCCGAGCTCGGCCTCTGCACATCTGCACCCCCTTTGCTTTCCTTTATTCTTTTTTTTTTCTTTTCTCCTCCCAGATCACTTTAAAGGTCCAGCTCAGGGCATTATTAGCACCGCAGTTAAAGTGGCGAGGGCAGTGACCTTCGGCGGTGGCAGGAAGCGGCAGCCGTGGGTGGCCGGGGGGGCACAGCCCCAGCCGGGCGCCCGGGATCAGCAGCGCCTTGTAAAACCCCGGCTGCCTCCGCACAGCCTCGGTGCCCGCATCTGCCCGATCACGCTGAGCTCCTGTCCCGTGGCACCACGATGCCCCATCCTCGCCGTGTCCCACCCAACACCCGTGGCCAAGGACTTGCCCAGCATCACCAGCCCGCAGCTCCCACCCGTGGCCGTGGCACTGTCCCCATGTCCTCCAGCCCCCACCCGTGACCCTGGCACTGTCCCCGTGTCCCCCACCCATGGCCGTGGCACTGTCCCCGTGTCCTCCAGCCCCCACCCATGGCCGTGGCACTGTCCCCATGTCCTCCAGCCCCCACCCGTGGCCGTGGCACTGTCCCCCTGTCCCCCACCCGTGGCCGTGGCACTGTCCCCGTGTCCTCCAGCCCCCACCCATGGCCGTGGCACTGCCCCCGTGTCCCCCACCCATGGCTGTGGCATTGTCCCCGTGTCCCCCACCCGTGGCCGTGGCACTGTCCCCGTGTCCCCCACCCGTGGCCGTGGCACTGTCCCCACTGTCCCCCAGCCCCGTGGGCTGCGTTTCCATGTCTGAGCTCCCTTATCAGCAGCACGACCTTTGCTGGTCACAGCTCGGGGGCTGGAGCCGCTGGGATTTGTTTGATTTTTGTTGATGGTTATTAGGCAGAGGAAGTGCCAGAAGGGATTTTGACCTCGAGTTTCAACCTACCCCAATTAGAGCCACTGAGCCTTTAATTACGGCGCTCCGGCCACTTTGGTTAGAGCAACAACAAAACCAAACACAGAATCTGGTCGAAGATGGGCTTTCCTTCCCATGGCTCCTCTTTGTCCCTGTGCTGTGTGACCGTGGCATGGGGCGTTCTGGCCCACCAAGCCCCTCATGCTGCCTGCACACCCAGGGGTGACACCACTCCAGGTGACTCCCACGGGCAGGGGACACCTCACCCAGTGCCCCAGGGATGCTCCAGGGGAATCCCAGGAGCTCCAGTGAAACACACCCGAGGTTACAGCTCAGGGGTGATGGATATTTTGGAAGCACCGATTTTTTATTTGACAGAGCTTCTATTCAATTGAGTTTTTTTAAAAAGCAAGTCCACAGTGATTCTTGTTCTTCGCTCCATTTGGCACATGGGCCAGGTTTCATCCCCTGGCACCATGGCACTCGGCACAGACCTTCCTGATGCTCCAGAGCCTGGCACAGATCCCTGCCTTTTGCTTTATTGTCACATTCCTTGATATGAGGCTTTATTAACACAGCTTAAGCTTAGCAAAACAGGGTTTGTATCCATGTAAGTCCTATGATTTATAATTACTTTCTAGGATATATCTTGTGGTTGATTTTTTACTTTAGACAGTAATGACCCTTGTGCTCTGATGATTTCCTTCCCTGACTGGCTTTTGTTCATTTTACCCAAAAGTCACAAAGGAAAAAAAGCCAAGGGGAAATTCTCCTTCTAAGCAGCACCAAGCCCTGAGTGGGATGAGGTGACAGCCCAGCTGAGCAACCAGTTGGAGCAGTGAATGGATTTGGGCATTCCCAGGACCTGGGGCAACACAACAACCCCACCAGTACCACACTGTGAAGTGTTTTATGTGATGAGTAACAGGTATCAGCACTAAAACAGCCCTTGTAAATGTTCTGTGTCGAGGTTTTAAATAGTTCTTTAATCCAGCTGCCTCCAGGTTTGGAGTATTTTGTGTATTTTCAAACACTTTGGTTTCTTCTCTGCTCCCATGGAAGCTGTGCCATCTTTTGAACACAAGGCGGTGAAAACAAGAGTGGGTGCTATGAAAACTTAACTTCACATAAAAAGGAATTTCCTCAGGCACAGGTTGGGCACACGAAGCCACAGCAGCCCCAGGATGAGCTCTGCCCCTGTTACATTTTCTGGCCCTTTCAGCTGTTCCCTCCCAGCCCTGCCCCAGGATCTTGGGCCATCACACAAATCTGAGAGGAGAGGAGAGGTCAGGGCAATCACTGCCACTAACCCAGGCACCCAAAATGAGTCAGTCCTTGGCTTTGTGTGGCCAAGGCACACAGGGATTCATTCACTGGAGTGTTTCTCTGGTGAGAAAGGATTTCTACAATAAAGTCAAAATGTTTAGAGAAAGCATTCCTAGATCCAGCAGTATTTATTGATTTCTTGCACATGTAACTGAATTAGCCTGGTTGAGAGGAGAGGGGAAACATCCAGCTGAAGAAACTGGGAGGTCTCCAGTTGAGTGTTTTTATTCCTCGGTGTAATCCTCTATTTCACATTATGACAATCAGCACCAATATTTTCACAGAAGAGCACAGACAATGGGCAGACCCCACTCCTTTCCTCCATGGTGCTCTTACCTCCTCCAGAGGCAGATCTGATTTCTTCCAGCACGTGCTGTTCTCCCTTCAGCTGAGCCTTCTCCCCTGGGGTTGCTTTTCCATCTTCCATGGAAACTGGACATCAGATCTCAAGATGCACTTCTCACTGGTTTTGGCAGAAGGGACCTAAAGGCCCATTCAGTGCCACCCCCTGCCATGGGCAGGGACACCTCCCACTGTCCCAGATCGCTCCAAGCCCTGTCCAACCTGGCCTGGGACACTGCCAGGGAAGCCACCCTGTGCCAGGGCCTGCCCACCCTCACAGCCAGGAATGCCTTCCCATATCCCATCCAGCCCTGCCCTCTGGCAGGGGGAAGCATTCCCCCATCCTGTCACTCCCTGGCCGTGCCAGAGGTCCTGGGGAGCCTGAGCTCAGTCCCCAGCACAGCACAGCAGCACCAAAGGCTCCATCCACCCCCAGCCTGGCTGTCAGGAAGGCCTGAGGTGTTTACTTGGTCACTGCAGGTGACCACAGCCCTGCCACTTGGGTGCTGTGAAGTGGCTGAGCTGTCACAGAGCCAACACAAGTGTCTGAGCCTGGAGTTGGTGTGAACCCACAGCAAACACAGCGTGGCTTCCCCAGAGCCCGTCCTCCCCAGAGCCTCTGTCTGCGCAGGAACGCCGAGCTGGAGGTGTCTGCAGCTTCAGGCCACTGCAGGAGCAGCAACAGGAATGCCAAATATTCCAGTTCTCTGGATATTCAAGCCCAAATAAGGCCCAGATGCCAGGAGAGCAAACATGAGGCCGATCGACCAAGTTTGGGCAAATGTGATTCAGAGTTCCCCAACGTTGCAGATTTTGCCTTGTAGGATAAAATTCCTAATTCTATGTTGATTTATTCTTGTTTAAAGAGGAAGCTGTGGAACCTCGATCCATCTCTGTCAGCCCCAAATGCTCATTTGTGGGGACTGTACATTTGAGAAGTTCAGCTGTGAACCAAAACCAGTTTCATGGGTCAGGTAAGTCGTGAAACTACCAAAAAATCCAACAAATTCCCCAAAATGGAATCACCTTTTCCTGACAGGCTTGGTTACAAAAAAGATGGACACCTTGCAGATTTGTGTTATGCCTTCCATGGAAAGAGATGGAATGCCCCCAGATAATCTGTGTTTATCATGGATAACCAGGTGCAATAAGACATCAAAACTCAATTAAACATTAACCTACAGCAACAATTGCTACAGAAGTGACATTTATTGATATTCTGCTGTATTTACAGGTTGAACATTGTAAAACTCCAAAGTGAATGACCACTTGGCAGAAAGCACAGGAGTGCACATTAAATCTACATTTCCAAAGCATCAGAGTCTCTGCTAACACAAATTATAAAAGCAAGAATTACAGGTATGTTAGGAATTGTCTCAAAAGTCCCAAGCCAAAGAAAAAAAAAGGCCTTTGTTTTGCAAGATGGTTTTTATACAAAGTTGCAACATGATCTTTTAGTTTTACACTACAGACCTGTTGGTGAAAACCCCTGGAGAGCCAAAAAGTTGGTGTGCGAAAGGAAAGGATACTACAACACCGAGAATAAAGACTGTTAAAAGTTAATACTTGTGCCACCTCTAAATTCCCAATGACACCTCGGAGCCTGGACTGCAGTGACCCCTTTTCCTCCACAGGCCCCTGGGTGCTGGGGGTCTGCAGCTCTGCCACCCTGCTGACACCTTCACAGGGCTGTCACCTCAGCTCGAGTCACCCTGCGTGCCAGGCAGGACAGGGGGACAGGGATGGACTGGGA